TGATTCATTTTCACAAACGTGAGTCTCTCCACACTTTGGGTGGACAGTCGTGTCCTCCGCGGAGTTTACAATACCTCCTGCCGCACTAAACACGCGCTTCCGATGCCACGCTAACTGGCCGGGCATGACAGCCTTTCAAGGGCAAATTCAGCTAGTTGGGGCCAAAGGTCAAGTTTCGTTGCCCAGTAGTCAAGGGGATTGTCTACCTCGGTTGGCAGGGTGCTGTCCAAGTAGCCCAAGCCTGTTGTTTGAGGTCCTGCTCCAGGTCCACCTGATGCTGCTGCTGCTGCTGCTGGTTAGTAGTTTCCTCACTGCGCTGGTGAAGAAAGCTACTCATCATCGACTGCAGACTGAGGCAGCCGCTGCTGGTGGAGCTGCCACTGCTCCTAACCCACCCCACCCCTCCCCTGCTGCCATGGCAGCGGAACGCGAGCGCGCACAGGGCCCACAGTGTCTGAGGATGGACGTTGGCGCAGAAAGAGCAGAGACCAACTGACTACATAGGTGGTTTTTATAGTACTTTATTTTGGCCTCCCTCTCAGCAGGTGTGAAAAAGGCCACCATTTTTGAACGGTAGCGAGGGTCCAACAAGGTGGACAGCCAAAAGTCATCCCTCTGTCTGATGGTTATTATTCGGTCTGTCGCTACGCAAGCAACCGAGCATGCTATGGGCCATTTGTGCCAAGGAATGCGAGGGACTCCCTGCCTCCATCTCCACAGCATACCGCCACGGTGCGTCTGGGTCCTCTGTCCTCCTCCTCCTCCTCTACCAGATGCTCCTGCTCCTCCACTCCTGTCCGCTGAGTGGAAAAACCACCCATTTCACTCAATAATTCCTGAGCACCAATGTCCTCCTCTACCTCCTCCTCTTCTTCCTGTCCTGCCCCCACAGGGGTCATCGTGGCGTTGAGATCTGTGCGCCACGTCTACCGCACCCTGACCAGCCATTGTTAACAGCATTTGTTCCAGGACTGTGCACAACAGAGGAATGACGTCGTTCATCCCATAGTCCTGCCGACTCACGAAATAGCGGTGGCCTCTCCAAAGGGCCTGAGCAAGCGGCAGGTGTCACGCATGAGCTGGCCAATGGCTGACATCTAAGTTACACAGGGGAGTACCTTTATCCGCTTGTAACATCAGGAAATCGGTGATGGCCTTTCGCTGTTCGTAAAGGCGGTCTAACATATGTAGGGTTGAATTCCACCTTGTTGCAACGTCGCAGATCAGGCGATGCTGTGGAATTCCGTTCTGCCGCTGCAGCTCAAGGAGGGTGTGCTTTGCGGTGTAGAAATGGCTGAAATGCATGCAAAGTTTACGTGACATTTTAAGGATGTCTTGCAGTGGGATGGTGGATTTTATGAGGAACCGGCTTGACAACCAGATTGAACACGTGAGCCATGCATTGCGCATGGCACAACCTTCCTTGACGCAGAGCAGACACCATGTTCTTTCCGTTGTCGGTCAACATGGTTCCGATTTTCAGTTTGCGCGGGAGACAGCCATCTGTCGATTTCTCTGTTCATTACACTCAGAAGTTTCCTCCCCTGTGTGACTACGTTCGCCAAGGCATACCAGGTGCAGCACAGCGGACACCGTTGCGCCCTGCACATGTGATATGCCGGTCGGGTAATGGGACTTGGCACGGGGTGGCGGCTGAGGACACGGCGGAAGAAGAGGTGGTAGAGGCGGACATCTTTGCTGGACCAAGGACGTGCAAACGTGGAGGCAAAAGCGGCGTGACCTGTCCAAGTTGCTGGTGCGGCTGTGCCGGCACCATGTTCACCGAGTGGGGGCCGTAAATGACATGTACTGTCCCTGACCATAGTTACAGCTCCACACGTCGGCGCTGCCGTGCACTTTGGCAGAGACCGACATGCTCAAAGACTGGCCCACCATCTCTTCTACATGTGAATGCAGGGCTGGCACTGCCTTTTTGGCGAAGAAATGCCGGCTTGGCACTCTCCACCAGAGCGGCTCGGCACAAGCCATCATTTCTCGGAAAGGTGCTGAGTCCACCACTTGGAAAGGGAGGGACTGCAGCACACCAGCAACTTGGACAGGAGGACGTTCAGCTTCTGCACCGTCGGGTGCGTGCCTCGCAAACTGTTTGTCTCTCTTGGAAACGGATTCAAGAAAGACTGCTGACGGAATCCGTGAAGAGGAGTAGCAGGAGAAGGAGCATCTGAACGAGCGGAAGATGCCAACGAGCGACAACTCCCCTCAGCAGAGGTGTTGGAGCCTTGACTGGCTGATAGAGGGCGATTGACGTCAAGTGACGGAGCAAGTAACGGAGCGGGGTGATGGAGCGGGGGATGGAGCGGGGTGCTGTGGGCAGGGCAGGCAGAACCGCCGTATCTTTATCACGGTTTTCCCAGGCCACCGAATGGCGACGCTGCATATGCTGTGACGCAACGCTGTAGTCCCAACATTGGCCCCCTGGCCACGCTTGACTTTCTGGCCACAATAGTCGACATACGGCTACGTTTACTTCCTCGGGCGGCTTGACGAAAAAATTGCCACACCCGCCGAGTAGGAAACTTTGCCCCCCGCTACTCCTCACTGGCTGACTGCTACTTCCTCCGTGCACACCGGCACCACTACTGGCCGTGGTGGTAGGCTGCAGTGGAGCTGGTGCTCTACTCCGTAGGCCGTTTGGCTCCACTGACACTGCTGCGACCCTGCTGCCTCCTGGGCAACCCACCGACTGTTTTGCTCGCTGGCAAGCTGGCAGCCCTCTTCTCCTGATGATGCGGAAGCAATAGCCTGATGATGACGAGGCTGCCAAGTGCGATCAGCCTCATCATCATCAATTAGGGTCTCCGCGTCACTACTAGCCCCCTCGCTGCGTGTGGGTCAGGAGACAGACCTGTCTCTAGACCGGCTACCGAGCCACTCTCCTCGCCACTACTACTTCTTCGCCTGGCTGCTGAAGAGGCGGATGTCTCCCCCCGTTCCTGACCGCCCTCTGTTAGCTCTTCCTCACTGTACAGTGGGGCTGAGCCCACAGCATGCAATACTTCGCTTGGTGAGGGAACACCAAAGGACAGGGGCAGGTCGAGGACACGTGATTTCAGTGGGCTTGCTCCCGGGCCATGCCAACTAACGGTTGTGTCTGACGTACCCACCAGACCGTTGGCTGTAGGTGAGTCAGAGGTGACCTGGGAAGAGGAAGAACGACCGAGTCAACCAATCGATGACGGCAGGGTTTGTCGGTGGAGACACGACCGCTGGATGACACCGGAGCACTGGCCTCTGGCTGCGACTAGTGCTGCTTCGACCCCTTCCTCTGCTGCCACGCCTGCTCGCTCCTGAAACATTGCCTCCTCTGCCACTCCTCTGCGTGTTGTCTAACATACTCTTTAATTCAATAAAGCACCCCAAAAATGAAACCGGATTTAACTCTTTGAACGTACAATAGTGGTTGTGAAGCAGAAAGTCAGTTTTATTTAGCACAATCGGTCAATTGCAGCTTGCCGTTGGCTGTAAACTGTACGTTTATGTCACTGGAATGCACTAATCACCCAAAAAATATTACCGCCCCCCCCGGCGTGTATATGGATTTAACTCTTTGAACGTACAATAGTGGTTGTGAAGCAGAAAGTCAGTTTATTGTACACAATCGGTCAATTGCAGCTTGCCGTTGGCTGGAAACTGTACGTTTATGTCACTGGGAATGCACTAATCACCCAAAAAATATTACCGCCACACCGGCGTGTAAATGGATTTAACTCTTTGAACGTACAATAGTGGTTGTGAAGCAGAAAGTCAGTTTATTTTAGCACAATCGGTCAATTGCAGCTTGCCGTTGGCTGGAAACTGTACGTTTATGTCACTGGAATGCACTAATCACCCAAAAAATATTACCGGCCAGGCCAGCGAGTAAATGATTTAACTCGTTGAAAATGGATCTAGGAACTCAGTTTAACGTACAATATTGGCTTGTTGAAGCAGAAACTGTACGTTTATGTTGGTACACAATCACCCAAAAAAATATCAATTGCCAACCCCGGCGTGTTGCTGAACGTTGGATCCCTCAATGAGTACAATAGTGGCTGAAGCAGAAAACTGTCAATACAGCTTTGTGCTGGGAAACTCACGTTTGGAATGCACTAATCACCCAAAAAATAATTACCGCCAGCCGGCGTGTAAATGGATTTTACTCTTTGAACGTACAATAGTGGTTGTGAAGCAGAAAGTCAGTTTATTTTGCACAATCGCAAACTGCAGCACCAACTGGTGCACGACAGCCACCAAAAAAAAAAAGGGTGTATGTCACTTTAAATTTTCGATTCTTTGATAGCTGTGGCCCTAAGTAACGATTCTGTGTCCCTGAGTAACCATTCTGTGTCCCTGAGTGTCTGTGTCCCTGAGTAACGATTCTGTGGCCCTAAAGTCTCTGTGGCCCTAACTCTGTCCCTTAATACACACAGGTCTGTCTCTCTTGAATGACCCGAGGCTAATGGAGAATTCTAAGATGGCCGCGATTTATAGCTCCACCATTACACAGTGCTGGCTGGCTGCTGATTGGCTAATGCGATCACATGTCATGAATGCATTATGGGTCAGCGCGCCTTGTCTGCGCGCCTTCCCATAGATCCCCGCCCCATCTTCTCTGTCCATTTTCTCCGTCGCCACACATGTCGCCGCCATTTTTGGGAAAATTCGATTTCGTGCATCCGAAGTTTGCTAATCTTCGGATTCGTCGCAAATAGAATTTTTCCAAATCTTCGGAACGAATTCCACTTCGTCATGTTCGATTCGCTCATCTCTAATCATAATATATAACACAAACAGAACTCACTGATTTCACAATATATTGTTTCATTGAGGGTTTTAAGCAAAACTAAAATTAAACTGTCAAAGAGAGATTATGTACTAGATAAGGGATGGGATGTTGTTTCATCATTTCAGATTATTTCAATCATATTTAATGAGTGTTGGTGTGTGTAAACTGATGTAGGATCATGAAAACTGAATTGTTTGTCCCCTATGGTATTTAGGTGATGCTGGGTCTCCGGGGATCCGTGGTGAGCCAGGATTTCCTGGTCTTAAAGGTGAAAAGGGTGAAGGTGGACTGCAAGGACCTCCAGGATCTCTTCCACCCATGGATAACATGAAGGGTGAAAAAGGAGATCAGGGAGACAAAGGTAAACTTTATACGTGGCCACAATTGTGGCACTGTACTCCACAAATAACTTTACAAAACACTTTTTGCATTTAACTGGCCACTAAAAAAATATGCGTTATACTTCATGTGGTTCTCCATGTTTGTCACAGGTAGAGAAAAAATGTAAAAACAGGCTGTGGCCTATTCTGGGTAATGAGCTTCATAGTATAACTTAGCAGGTCCAAAACTAGGAAAATAAACCTCAGTTACCTTTGTGCTATAGAAATAGAAATTTCTTTTGTCTTGCCTTCTGTAGCTGTGCCATCCGTTGGCATGATGTGCTGACTGGGTAAGCATGAACACAATTTTTTTTCAGGGTTTCAAGGTATTTGACTGAAAATAAGTTTCTCCTTTACAACAAGAAAACAAAGTACAGTACAATGTAAGTGTTATACTGTTGCTTTTTTTTCTAGGTCTCATTGGTTTCGAAGGACAAAAGGGGATACAGGGTGAAATCGGAAACCCTGGAATGCCTGGAAAAGAAGGAGATCAAGGAATGCCAGGGAAACCAGGTAAAATATATTTCCTGTATATTATATATTTATTTTTTTACTCAATATTATGTCCAGTTATTATCTGTCAGCTTAATTTCTGCAAAGCTGCTTTTTTTAAATATTGGCTTACTCATTTTTAATGGCATGTAATACAATTACAGGAGACAAAGGAGAGAAAGGTGGTCATGGTTTGCCGGGAAGTACAGGACATACAGGTCCAAAAGGATCTATGGGAGAAATGGGCTTACCAGGTAGGGATAATACACTATCAAAGTAAAATTGTGCACTAAGCATCATAAGGCAATATTATCTTGAAGGGCAGCACAGTGGCTAAATGGTTAGCACTTCTGCCTGGCAGTACTAGGGTCGTTGGTTCGAATTCCAACCATGGCACCACCTACCTGGAGTTTGTATGTTCTCCCTGTTCCTGCGTGGGATTCTTCTGGGTACTCCAGTTTCCTCCCACACTCCAAAGACATGCTGGTAGGTGAATTGGCTCTTGTCTAAATTGGCCCTAGTATGTGTATGTATGAATGTGAGTTAGGGACCTTAGATTGTATGCACCCCTGGAGGGTTAGGGACTGATGTGAATGCACAATATATATGTAAAGCGCAGCATAAATTGACGGCGCTATGTAAGTACCTGAAATAAAAAATAAGTATGAAACATAGCACATATAATACATAGAGTTAATAACTGTAGGGGAGCAGTGGTGATGATATGTCCTGAAATAATGGTCTATTGCTGAAACCAAATTTATGTTTAGGACCTACTGGACCAAAGGGAGAATATGGTATTCAAGGCACTCCAGGTCTACCAGGTGTAACTGGGATCAAAGGTGAAAGGGGGCAGAAAGGTGAAGATGGGCTTCCAGGTGTTGGTATTCCTGGACCTCAAGGGACAAAGGTAAATATTGTGAAATACATATCTTGATACAAACAGGTAGATACAGTGAGGTTCAAATATTAATATAAACTTAAAGGTAGAATCAGTGATTTACTTGTAGGGTTTATTTACTAAAGGCAAATAGATTGTTAACTTTGTAGGGAAAGTTACACTTTGCAGGGCAAATTGCCCCAGAACTCAGTGAATGTAGTGAAATTTCACTTTAAAAGGAAAGTATGCAGAGCTTCACATTATTCATTAAAGTGGTAGTAATGTTGTTTTTTTTCACTTGCACCTACAGGTACAGTAAGCCTATAATAAGGCTTGCCTGTAGGTACTGTATATATCTCCTAAACGTGCATTGTTTGGGAGATATTTACTTGTAAAGGAGCACCGGTGCATGCTCTCTGAAGGAACGGCATGCCCATGCCATTCCTTCAGAGCTGTGTTGCGTAAAAAGCAACTCACGTGTGCATGCATGGGAGTGACGTCAACGTAGCTTGGCCATTCAAGCCGCTGGAGCCCACAAACCCAGAAAAAGGACTGGGTGAAGATGGAAGCCCTGTCAGCGGTGAGGTCAGCACTGGAGGTAAGTTTCACATAATGTGCTGGCATGGAATGCATACTAGCACGTTATGCCATTGTCTTGCAGTGTTTTTTTGTAGATGTTTGCGATTTACTACTGCTTTAAGCTCTTGGGAAAATTCTTGGGAAATGCAACTTCCCTTGTGAAGTTAACAGCCTGTTTTCCTTTAGTAAATCAACCCCACAAACAATATAAACTTTAAAGCACTCTCCTCACTAAATATCATGCTTTGCTGACACATTATATGCTATATAAGTCTTGTTAGTGGTCTTGAAAGATATTCAGAAGCTAGTAAGAAGTGTCCCTGCTACTACTGTTTGACTACTGATAGTACACAGGTTTAGCTAAAAGCACTGTACAGAAAATGGCCCCATACAAAGATTTCTATACCAGTCCAATGATATCATTAGGCTACAGCTTCAGATGATGGATCTCTTTGTCTTACATTTGAGTACAAGATCAATTACTCAACAATTACCCATTTAGCAGACTTGTGGATTACAGTATTTTACATATATTACATTCAAACACAAATTCTCTCTGGAAAGTTCTACATTTCAGGTTTGATCAACTATGACTGTTTCATACTTGTTGCCAATGCCCAAATATTCAGACTATCTAGGATATTTGCTGCAAAAGTCTCTTCTGGCTTATGGCTTGCACTAGTTAATAATCTACTGACTTCTATACTCTGAGGCATCTTGCCATCTAGGCAGGCCAGGGAGGGTTTTTCACACTGGGAGTTTTACTGACAGGCTTGGGAGAAGCTGCACACGGCCTACAGGTATGACTTTTTTAAAACACACTCCTTATTTCAAAGATGAACAGTATTTTTTAATCTATTGGCGACACTTGAATGCATGGTATCTTTTTTTGAAAAGGTAAACTAACCCTTTAACTTTGTGCATACAATGCAAAAAATAAAAGAAGAAAATGTGGGCTTATATATTAATGCAAAATGCAGTATTGATGTTTAAAGTCCAGTTACCCAGCAAAAAAAAAAAAAAATCAGATTTCATATTGCCAAAGTCAGGTTAATATCAGGTAGCTGTTAGGTAAATCTGTGTTAATTTAAGTTTAAGTAAACCCAAAATCTGTTTAGCATGTTTGACATCATGTCTTACTGTTTAATTTTTTCTTAAGCAAAATGTTTTTTGTGAATCTGTTGCAAAGTTTCTTACCTGAAGATCACGGCAGAAACAACACCTGTTGCAAACTAAAACTGCTATGACACTGCCTTGTAATTAGCAGTATTGTCACCCTGCCATGTAAGCTCTTTTGGTTGGTCATTGGACTACCTTGAGGTCCTTCACCTTTTTAGCCCAGTAGTCAAATCAGGGAGCTCAGACAGCAAGCTGGCAATGGTAATGCTTATTGGGAGGTAGTGGATTAGCATTGTCAGCCAGCATCAGGACCTATTTTACAGTCAGAATCTCTAGCTAAGAAACATTGCAAAAGAATAACAATAAAACTGCTTAGTGTAATTCAAGGCAAAATTAAAAAAAAACTATGCAACACATTTCTGCAATATGTGCACATTGCCCCATATTTGATCAATTTAGCCCCTGCAAATAAAGAGAAATAGCTGTTGATAAGCCAGAAATGCACCCAGCAAATAGGTCCTTTTTGTAGGCTGTCAACACAGCTTTTTCGTGGACTGAGTATTGACAGCTCTGCCTGGTTATATTTTGTTAACTGCCTAAACCCTCCATCTCTCCTAATCTCAGAAACATAGAAACTAATTATTCTGTAGCCCAATATAAAAACTAGGAGGGCTAATCACACTCATTGAGATAACATAGGAAGTGTGACAGCTATGAACTTACATGATCACTGGGTAATTTTTCCACTTATTGAACAGATACAAAAAATGCCTTGTATACAGACCAAAATGTAGCAAATAGGCAAAGTTGTTAGGATTTACATAAGTGTTAAGAAAAATGTATACTGTGAGACCAAACATACCCACTTGATGACCAGTGACGTACCCAAACATCTCTGGACTTCAGGTGGCTATAATGGGATGATACCTGCAGTCACCGTCCCTGTAAGGGTTTGTTAGAGCCAACAGTCTGCTCTCTTTTAAAAGCAATCCTAGTAGCTAACTAGCCACTGGATTGCTTCTGCAAGCATACAAGCAGTAGGGGGGGGGGGGGGCGGACATTCATCCCCCTCCTGCTTCTTTCCTCTGCTTCATCGGGCTGTCCTGTCCCACCAGGACACCTGAATTACCAGCAAGCACTTCTGCTGGCTGATCGTAGAGGCTAACAAGGACCAGAACCATTCTCTTCGCCTCTATAATATAGGGAACTGGAAGCGATGACTTTCGGTTTACCTGGATGTAAACAGCACCATTTTTAAAAATGGAAAGCATTTGATTATGCCAATCTATCTATCAGAACCCAGATTTCTCCATATGGAGTATCTGCCATATGCCTATTGCTATAACAAGGGATGTTTACATTCCTTGTGACAGCAATAAAGATGATAGGAAAAACATTTAAAGAGGCAGTGTAAAATAAATGAACACATAAAGTGCCCCCCCCCCCCGCTTGCACACAAAGGTGAAAGCACATGCTGTTTTTGCACACACGCAAACAGCTATTGTCCCACACATGTAAGGTATCAGTGCGGACATCAGATCATGGAAAGTAATTCTAGCACCAGACCTCCTGTGTAATTCTAAAGTGGTAAGCTGTAAAGGCTTTTAAAGCATCGACTATGGACAGAAAAGTCGTTTGTCCTCGTTCCACATCATTGTGCAATTTTAAAGAGTGACATGTTTGGTATCTAGTTACTTGTCATAACATCATCTTTTATATTTTACCAAAAAATTGGGTTATGTATTGTGTATTTTGTTAGCATTAAAATTAAAAAAAGTGTATTTAAAAGAAAACTGAGCTTGAAAAGCCGCTGTGCAGATACCGTAATAAAAAGCAACACACAACACCTACCAGTTTATTCTCTAGGGCCTCTGCTTTAAAAAAGTGTATAAAGTTTGATGGTTCTAAGGAATTTTCTACGAAAAAATACTGATTGTTACATGTAAACAAAAAGTGCAAGAAAAGGCTTGGTCTTTAAAAGATTAAAAAATAAACTAAGTTTAAAATACAGTAGATTAAGAATTAGCATAAACTTTGATATATTGGCCAATTGACCTGTCCCATCTCTTGCTTCTACTTGTACTTGTTCTTCTCAGCTTAGCTACTGTAGTGGTGGACTGTGATTCAGTGTCACTGACCTCTAACTCATTAACTACTCAGGCAAATCCACAGTGGGTGATTGCTGTTTTCTTATTTTTTTTAACTAACATTTGGGGACATGCTAGGGTAAAGACTGTATTATGGATAACAAATATATTTGTTTCTAGGATTGAACTTTTTAGGTTTTCATTGCGAAAATTTAAATAAAGTAGTTGTAAAGCTATACATATACCCAGAGAAGTGACTGGCCTTGAGTGACAACATAAGTTGTACCTGTTTATCTGCCGTTTTAATTTAATTTATAAAGAGCTGAGGGTACATTCTGCAGAGCTCAGTGAGGAAAGTTCTGAGAAAGTTTTGACACCTCCCTTCACACAGCACACAGGAACAGAGCTGAGGCTGTCACTGTGCTGAAGGTCCTTCCCCTGTCACCAGGGTGTCAAAAATTGTCAGAATTGACTCATGCAGATAGCAGAGGAACAAAGCAGGAGACAGAAATGACACTTAGTGCTCTTAATTGAGACAAGTGCACACTATAGAGGCATATGCTTTCTGCATATTTCATATCTGAGGTTTCTGCATATCTTTATATTACATATTTCATATCTGAGGTTTACAACCACTTTAAGTTGGACACCAAACAATAATTTCAATAATTTTAATGTCTATAAACTAATTACTACATTCTCTATGATTTACTTACTTTATAAAAAGTATTGAGAAAAATATGTTTATCAATATATCTGACTACAGGGTGATCCTGGAACCCCGGGTCAACAAGGTTTTCAAGGTGAAAGGGGTGAAAAAGGTGACGGCGGTATCCCTGGGATGCCAGGGTTTCCTGGTATAAAGGGATCGACCGGTTCTGCAGGATTTCCAGGTAAGTTATATTTTCTTTTTTAAAATATAATAAAAAGTTATTTGTTTCATGGAAGTTAACCTTTATTGAACTATGCTTAATCTTACAGGTAGCCCAGGAATTCCTGGAGAAAAGGGAGCTAAAGGGCTCCATGGAACACACGGTGTTTCTGGATCTAAAGGACATCCAGGTAAAGTAATTTCCTCCAGCAAATCAAAATAACATTACTGTAATCATTTGATAGCTTCTACATTCGACGGCTATGCCCAATCTACAACCATTTAAAATTTTTAGTATGGCTATAAGCAGGGGCATAACTATAACTCATGGGGCCTCATAGGCCCAAAAGTCTGATGAGGGCCTCCTAGCTAAAGAGCAGCTGGCAGTGTCAGCAGTAAAGTATACTTAGAGGTGAAGTAGGGCCAAAGCTCTTTTGTTCCAACTTCTCCTGGGGATCACAGGAGTGCACTTGGTTCTGCACTTCTGTGACCCATATTCAGCTATCAACGGGTGAAAGTCAGCTGTCGGCTGATGTCACTGAGCTAGTCCAGGTTCTGGAAAGATCCCAACTTTAAAGTTGGGATCCACCCAGATTCCTGACTGGTGGCTGGCTCAGCCTCTCAGCGCACTGCACAGTTACCGATTCTCTGCTCATTACAGACCGAGAACTAAATGATCAGCAGTCTGTGATCACTCAGTTCTCAGTCTTGGAGGCAGTAGGGGACAGGTGTTTGTTTTTTTTTAAAACCCGAACTTGCCTTTTAAATTAAGGACATGAAACAGAAGAACTGTCAGCATAGTAAGTACACTACCACAAACCTCAGCTGTCCTATAAGGTTTTAGCTGAGAAGACACTCTGGGATTTGTCACTGCAATAAACACACAGAGTTCATTTTAGTTGGTAGCTGAATTTCATAGGGCAATAAATCTACACTGAAAAGACAGCTTACTGCATTAAGATGGATCTGTGATTGATTATCTTGAAGTCTAATTTCAGCCTTTGAGTTTTTTCCTTGCGTGCCTCACCGATGAAGCCCCCTCCTATCTCAGGTGCCATAGTAGCTCCGTGGACCACTATGGATACTGTAATACCATTGCATATAAGATGGAAATAGCATTTATTTGGGCCAACAGGGCCAAATTTATTGTTAAATGTATTTATTGGCATGCATTTCTAACCTACATAAGGGCAACACTTTAATAAGAGATAGGGTATAATCTGAGGAACCAATGGAGGTGATAAACTGGGAAGTAGGATTAATTCGCATTTTATTTTATAAAACTTTTTTTAATCATTGTCAAGATTTCCCATATGGAAGAAAAATATATTTGAAATATATTCTAAAAATATTATTCCCAAATATATTAACATATATGTGAAATGCTACAATTTTGGCCATATTCAATATATTTCAAAATATATTTCTATAAATATATATATATATATATATATAATATATATATATATACAGTCATGGCCGAAATTGTTGGCACCCTTGATATTTCTCCAGGAAATCATGTATTTCTCACGAAACGTATTGCATTAACACATGTTTTGCTATACACATGTTTATTCCCTTTGTGTGTATTGGGACAAAACAAAAAAAGGGAGGAAAGAAAGCAAATTCGACATAATGTCACACAAACCTCCAAAAATGGGCTGGACAAAAGTATTGGCACCCTTTCACAACTGCGGATAAATAAGAATGTTACAAGCATGTGATGCTCCTGTAAACTCACCTGGGGCAAGTAACAGGGTGGGCAATATAGAAATCACACCTGAAAGCAGAATAAAAAGGAGAGACGTTCACTTAACCTTTGCATTGTGTGTCTGTCTGTGCCACACTAAGCATGGACAACAGAAAGAGGAGACGAGAACTGTCTGAGGACCCTGAGAACCAAAATTGTGGCAAAATATCAACAATCTCAAGGTTACAAGTCCATCTCCAGAGAACTAGATTTGCCTTTGTCCACAGTGTGCGCAACATTATCAAAAGTTTGCAACCCATGGCACTGTAGCTAATCCTCCCTGGTCGTGGACGGATGAGGAAAATTGATGAAAGATTGCAACGCAGAATAGTCCGGATGGTGGATAAGCAGCCCCAAACATGTTCCAAAGACATTCAAGCTGTCCTGCTGGCTCAGGGAGCATCAGTGTCAGCGCGAACTATCCGTCGACATTTAAATGAAATGAAACGCTATGGCAGGAGACCCAGGAGGACCCCACTGCTGACACAGAGACATAAAAAAGCAAGACTACAGTTTGCCAAAATGTACTTGAGTAAGAGTAACCAAAAGCCTTCTGGGAAAACGTCTTGTGGACAGATGAGACCAAGATAGAGCTTTTCGGTAAAGCACATCATTCTACTGTTTACCGAAAACGGAATGAGGCCTACAAAGAACAAAACACAGTACCTACGGTAAAATATGGTGGAGGTTCAATGATGTTTTGGGGTTGTTTTGCTGCCTCTGGCACTGGGTGCCTTGACTGTGTGCAAGGCATCATGAAATCTGAGGATTACCAAAGGATTTTGGGTCGCACTGTAGGGCCCAGTGTCAGAAAGCTGGGTTTGCGTCCAAGATCCTGGGTCTTCCAGCAGGACAATGACCCCAAACATACGTCAAAAAGCACTCAGAAATGGATGGCAAAGAAGCGCTGGAGAGTTCTGAAGTGGCCAGCAATGAGCCCAGATCTAAATCCCATTGAACACCTGTGGAGAAAAATTGCTGTTGGGAAAAGGTGTCCTTCCAATAAGAGAGACCTGGAGCTGTTTGCAAAGGAAGAGTGGTCCAAAATTCCGGGTGAGAGGTGTCAGAAGCTTATTGATGGTTATAGGAAGCGACTGATTTCAGTTATGTTTTCCAAAGGGTGTGCAACCAAATATTAAGTTAAGGGTGCCAATACTTTTGTCCAGCCCATTTTTGGGGTTTTGTGTGACATTATGTCATATTTGCTTTTCTGCCTCTGTTTTATATTTGTTCCAATACATACAAAGGGAATAAACATGTGTATAGCAAAACATGTGTTAATGCAATACCTTTTTTGTGTGAAATACTTGATTTTCAGGAAAAATATCAAGGGTGCCAACAATTTCGGCCATGACTGTATATATATATAGACTGAATGTTGAAATGCACTTTTTTATATATTACCAAATATATATATATATATTTTTTATATATTGAATATGGCCAAAACTGTAGCATTTCAAATATATGTCAATATATTTGGGAAGAATATTTTGAAAATATATTTCAAATAGGTTAAAACATGCATCTTGAGTAGTATGACTATGTGAGTGTTTGTAACCCATGTACCATATCTACTGTATATCGAATGGCACTATACTGAACACATTGCCTCAGCTGAACACATTGCCTTTGTAACCCATGTACCATATCTACTGTATATCGAATGGCACTATACTGAACACATTGCCTCAGCTTCCAGCATCAAGGTCAGTGCTAGCTAACTAGTGCCAACAACAGCTTCGAGGCATAAAAACAGAAGCTATATTTCACTTAGATCTTACTTTGTAGTAACCATTATGAAAACACTAAATGAAAAAGACCAGTTTCACTTTAAGGAAACATCATTAGGCCTATTCAATAATACAATCTATAGTGCCATAATTACAGGGGGCTAGTTATAGAAACAAAATCACTGTATGAATGTCTAAAGCAAATGCAAAGCTATCACAAATAATCCCCACAATCTGTCTATTGTGTTTATTAGTTATGATCATTAGCACCATCTAGTGGCCATAATGCAGTATTTTCCTGATAGGTGTATTTCAGGAAAATACTGCATTAAGACCACTAGATGGAGCTGCTGATCAAAGAAATAAACATATTAGGCAAATTCTGGGGATTATTCATGATAAGTGTACATATGCTTGAGGTATTCACACAGCACATTTTTATAAATAGACCCAATTTTGTACTAAGTGCAATAACCTAAAGTAAGCAATCACCTTTCACCTTCTGACCCTAGAAGCACAAGTTGGCTGATTCACATGCTGCATACTAGTTCCAGTGCAGTGTATCAGCAAATAGAATTAGCCTGAGTGCCCCAGAGCTAGTATGTCCATATGAGTTAGGAAATAACTGCTTCCATTGCAGCCTAGTAGGTGTTGTGTTTTGTGACAGTGTAGGTACAATGTGCTATAAAGTGTATGTAAACCCTAACAATGAGCTTCTCTTATTTGCTCCCCTTTGGTCTGTAAAATATACAGTTGAAAGAATTAAGTTATATCTGTTCAATAAGTGCAAAAAATGTCTATTAATCAATTCAGAAATTCAAAGCTATCCTGTGTTCTGTTCACAATTCCTAATTAGCTCTCCTAGTTCTTACAAAACAATTAGAGCATATGTTCTGGAGATAAGAACAGTTGGAGGGATTTATTCATTTATCAAATGACAACTGGGCAGTGCTGACACCATTTTGTCCACAAAGATGCTGTGTTCTGTAAACCTACCATAGGAAATTAAGAGCTGAGCGGATTTCTGAAAAACTACCAGGTATTTCTCTGTACTTGAAGATTTTTAGGAACAAAACATGGAGAAATGTGCATGTTTGGCAGATATGTGCTGCATAGGTGTTTTAAATCTGAAATCCACAAACAAAACATTACAGGTCAAAAAATTCCTGATACCTGTTTTCTTTGAAGCATATTATTTCAAAAATATAGATGCCTGTTTTACATTTGATGAGTTTTAATTGTTATTTAGTAAATTTGAAGCAATATACATATGACATGAATGATTTTATATTGCTACAGGTGAACCTGGAATCCAGGGACCTCCTGGTTCACTTGGAGAAAAGGGTGCGCCTGGTCTTGATGGAATCCCAGGTGCATCTGGTGAGAAAGGTGATCAAGGTAAGTGAAGATCTGTTGTTTTTCACATATAAGATACAGTATCTTCCAGTTGGAAAGAAAGCAAGTGATGAAAATTTTAATTCACTGGCACTTTGCTGATGCATTGTCATGGTCAAGTTCACCATGTTCTAATTCACCAGTAAGAAATAATGTTGTGCCTTTTGACAATAAAAAAGAATAAATATACTGTCCACTATAAATACACCACCTCATCAGCTCAGTTATATAGTATCTCTGTATCCATATGTCTGGGTTGCCATATGCACATGAGGCATCTACCTTCCAGAATAAGCAGTTGCTTCAAGAGGAGTGTCCTAGATCAGTGTTTCACAACTTTATTTCAGTCAAGGCAGCCTGTAAAATTATGCACAGGCACCCCTATCTAAAATGTAAAAAAAGAAACTAATAGTTTACATAATGCAGCAATATCCACACACATATGATGTCTAACATTAGAGGTGATTTATTCTTCCAAAGCAAACACACCCTTGAAAAGTGGTGTTCACTAGTATTCCAGTATTTCTCTTCTACCTCAGCTTCTCTTCCTCACTCAGCTAATGTGACCCCAGTGCTGACAGAGGGGGGAAGAGGAGGGGCAAAAAAAGTGTCTGACAGTCTCTTTATCAACTGATGACGTCATTTGTTAGGATGTTGGTGGTTGGAAGTTTGTAATAGTGCACAATAAAAACACGTGACTTTGTATAACTAAGCGTCAGTCTTCATCCACTCACTGGCTTGTATACAATTTTTGAGCAATTTTTAGGCATTTTGCCAAGGCACCCCTGAAGAAACCTGAAGGCACCCCAGGGTAATAATGTGACATTTCTCTCAAAGTATGTGAACCTTATGCTGATAGGGATACAGAAAAATAATATCATCAACCATTGGAAACCTGTGTCACGGTCTAGAGTCAGATTTGGAGGCCAGCAACTATAGCAGTAGAATGGCACCCAAGGACCAGTTTGATAAGTACAGTAGCAGGTCACCCTGGCAGATGACTTGGGCTTACCCCAGGTCTGGAATATTAACCAGTGTTCATCAGAGCTCTTTGTGGTGGAGATGGCTTTTGCTGCGTGTTAGTGCCAGGGCATGGTCATAAAGATTGGACCACTAGGAGGTGAGCAAGTAGCAGATATAGCAGGTAGGGATAAGCATAAGCGCAGTCAATAAACAAGTCAAAAGTCAGTAACAAGTAGTTGTAGGTTAGGATCAAGCAGAAACATAGTCGAGGAACATGCCAAAGGTTGGTAAAGAGTGGTAGCGAAAATACACAAGCAGCAGGAGTGACAACAGCGAGATATTGGCTGGAGTGCAATAATCTGGCAAAGAGGAAGTGCAGAGCCATGGCTTAAATAAGAAATTCATTGGAGGAGCAAATGGTTCAAGAAAAGCAGGGTTCAGGGTGGTATCATTCAAGGTATTGTCAAGGGAGAGGTCCAGCATCTCAGGTGGCTCAGTGAGAAGGAACATTGCCAGACACAGCAAGGGTTGTAGGTTCAGACCCATGTCCTGACAGCCTGTGTACCTGGAGTGCTGCATTTAAATCTTTGGAGTGTGGAGGTAGGAGCTTGTTGTACTGGAAAAAAAAGCTATGATATATAAAATTAAAGGGAAACCCCACCAAATTAATTGCTTGCATATCACTTCAGATTCGAATATATCTGCAGATCCCCAATACTGCCAATCAGCCCATTCTGGGACAAATCATGACATCTTGGCACAACAAGCTTTAGATTGAAGAGTTTGCAAAAGGACTTACTTTACTGGGGCCCTCACAATACAGGTTTAAAGTAACTCTTTTGACCTGTGTTGCCCTGTTTGACTGATGAGACTGAGGAAAAAAAGTCCTGGGTAAGCTCCAAACCAACTTGTCTTGAGCCAACCAAGCGGCACTAGTGCTGTCAGAGAAGGGGAATGAGTTACTTGCTAAATTTACCTGGAAGTAAAGCCATAACACTTTTCAGTTACTTGGCAAGCAGCTTTGAATTTGGTTTACAAAGGTGAGACATACACTGTATTGCCAAAACTATTGGGACGTCTCTCCAAATCATTGGAATCAGGTGTTCCAATCACCTCTATGACCACAGGTGTACAAAATCAAGCGCCTAGGCATGCAGACTGCTTCTACAAACATTTATGAAAGAATGGGGCAGGAGCTCAGTGAATTCAAGTGTGGTACCATGGTAGGTTGCCACCAGTGCAATAAGTCCATCTGTGAAATTTCCTAAATTTCCTAAATTTTCCATGCTCAACTGTTAGTGGTATTATAACAAAGTGGAAGCAACTGGGAACAACAGCAACTCAGCCACGAAGTGGTAGGCTACATAAAATGACAGAGTGGGGTCAGCGCATGCTGAAACGCACAGTTCGCAGAAGTCGCCAACTGTCTGCAGAGTCAATAGCTAAAGACCTCCAAACTTTGTTTGGCCTTCAGATTAGCACAAAAACAGTGCGTAGAGAGCTTCGTGGAATGGGTTTCCATGGCTGAGTAGCTGCATCCAAGCCTTGCATTCCCAAGTGCAATGCAAAGTATCAGATGTAGTGATGTAAAGCACGCCGCCACTGAACGCTAAAGCAGTAGAGACGTGTTCTCTGGAGTGGCAAATCAGGCTTCTCTGGCAATCCGATGGACATGTCTGAGTGTGGTGGTTGTGAGGAGAATGGTCCTTGCCTGACTGCATTGTGCTAAGTGTAAAGTTGGGTGGAGGGGGAATTATGGTGTGGGGTTGTGTTTCAGGAATTGGGCTTGGCCCCTTAGTTCCAGTGAAGGGAACTCTTAAGGTGTCAGCATACCAAGACATTTTGTTCAATTTCATGCTCCCAACTTTGTGGGAACAATTTGGGGATGGCCCCTTCTTATTCAAACTTGACTGTGCACCAGTACACAAAGCAAGGTCCATAAAGACATGGATTAGCAAGTCTGGGGTGCAGGAACTTGACTGGCCTGCACAGAGTACTGACTTCAACCAGATAGAACACATTTGGGATGAATTAGAGCTGAGACTCATATGACACCAGTGCCTGACCTCGCAAATTCGCTTCTGGAAGAATGGTCAAACATTCCCATAGACATGCTCCTAAACCTTGTGGACAGTCTTCCCAGAAGAGTTGAAGCTGTTATAGCTGCAAAGGGTGAGCCAACTCAATACTGAACCCTACGGAATAAGACTGGCATGCCATTAAAGTCCACATGTGTGTGTAAAGGCAGGCGTCCCAATAGATATATTCTATTAGAGTGATATGTGTGTATATACTATATATATATATATATATATATATATATATATATATATATATATATTTATTTATTTATTTATTTACAGTGCTCAGCATAAATGAATACACCCAGTTTAAAAAGTAAGATTTTAATCAATATCTCAATGAACACAAGAATAATTTCCAGAATTGTGACAAAACTGAGTTTTATAGAACATTTGTTTAGCTCATTACATGAAAGTAAGGTTAATAATATAACTTTGATTACAAAATCTTCAGTTTTAATCAAACTACTTGATGCAAAAATCAATACACCCTACAACAAAAACTAGTCCATCTAGTATTTTGTATGACCTCCATGTAAGGTCAGCACCAATTCTTCTAGGTATGGAATGAACAAGTTGACAACATATTGCAACATCCATGCTTCAACAACAACCTCTTTTAGAGCATGGATGCTGGATGGAGAGTGATGCTCTACTTTTCTCTTCAGAATTCCCCATAGGTGTTTGATTGGGTTCAGATCAGGGGACATACTTGGCCACTGAATCACTTTCACCCTGTTCTTCAGAGATGCAACAGTGGCCTTAGATATGTGTTTTGGATCATTGTCATCTTGGAAAATGTGCACAACGACCAAGGGCACAGAGTGATGGTAGCATCTCCTCTTTCAATATAGAGCAGTACATCTGTGAATTCATGAAACCATCAATGAAATGCAGCTCCCTGACACCAGCAGCACTCCTGCAGCCCCACAGAAGGACACTGCCACAACCATGTTTCACTGTAGGCACCATGCATTTTCCTCTGTACTTCTCACCTTTGCGACGCCATACAGTTTTGAAGCCATCACTTCCAAAAACATTTTTCTTGGTCTCAACACTCCAGAGTACAGAGTCCTAGTAGTCTTCTTCTTTTTCAGCATGGGCCCTAGCAAAATGTAGGTGGGCTTTTTTGGGCATGGGCTTCCTTCGAGAGGCTTCCTTCATGGACAAAACCCATGCATGCCATTCCTCTGCAGTGTACGCTGTACTGTGCCACAGAAAACAATCACTCCAGTTTGGCTTTCTACTTCTTCAGCTAATGCAGTGAACTTGCATGGCGATTTTCTTCAACCATTCGCATCGGAAGATGCTCCTGTTGCAGTGTTAACTGCCGTGGATGGCCTGAATGTCTGTGTGAGATGGTTGTAGTTTCATCTTTGTTACATTTTTGTATCACTTTTGGTACAGTATTTTGTAAAGCTTTTGCTGATCTTCTTGTAGCCTTCACCTTTCTTGTGTAAAGAAATTATTTTCTTTCTCAGGCATTGTGACATTTCTCTTCCATGTATTGCCATTATCGATAGAATGAAATCGGAAGGGGTTTTCTTTGTTAAGTAATGCCCTTTTACAATAAGCTGTCCGCAGGACACCTGTTTAATAAATAATTAGTCTCACCCATAGTTGAATTCTTGTTAATTAGGATTTTGTTGTAAAAAATCTAGCGTTTCTCCTAAGGCTTTCATTGGGGTGTATTCATTTTTGGTCCTGAATAATTTTGTTAGAAAAAATATTTTTTTTTGTGTGTGCAAATTAATAATGTTTATTCTGAAAGGAAAGTAAAGATCTTCTGCAAAATCTGTGGGGTGTACTCATTTTATGTTGAGCAATATATTTTTTATATATATATATATATATAGTGATCTGCGGATAGGTAGCAGGTATAAAGCTGCTCTCTGGGGTAGGCACACTTTAAGCCCCTGATATCAGTCCAGTGGAGTAGCGGTAAACAGTTGTATATTTAGTCTATTTACTAGTTCTGTACAGTGAAGTAAACAGAAAGAGTTCAAAAACTCTTAAAACAAAATCCTAGCCCTGTCCCGGCACTAACTACACAATCAAAAAAATCCTGACTGTCAGGCTGTTCAAGCCTTGCGCTTGTCAGCCTCCACATACACAGCTTGTTTGCTTTTCACCAACCTTGCAGTTGTAAAAGACACAACCTATAATTCTATGTGTGTGTAAAAAAAACAAAAACATAATATTGTACCCTATCCTAAGGTTTACCGGGAAGAGCCCTGCCTGGATTTCCTGGAGAACGGGGAGAGAAAGGTATGACAATATATGGAGGGATGACAATCTTGTCCAAGGATTCATGTGGGGACACTGTCATATTTTGTTATTTTGTCATTTTAGATATCTGCTCTACCATCTGTTGGAGTTATTAAAAACTACAACACAAACACCATAAAATGATATTTCACTTATATGACTCTCTTTTCTCTGTCTTTGGAGAGAAAGCTTAAGTTAATTTGGACATAATATGATTAGCCAAGTCATGTAATCAATATTTAATCTTCCCATTTAGTTTAAGATGTCAATGATGTCTCCATAATTTTAAAATATATATATTTTAAAATTTCTGATTTTATTAATTATGTATGAGTAAAATATATTAACATTTTTATTCCTTGAATAGTTTGATTTGCCATTGGTTCGGCATATGTGAATAATTTTATGAACTCAAACTCAGAGGAGATTGCTATAGAACAAATTTTGGTATTAACCCTTTTGTTGCCAGAACCGTTTTTGCTTTCCTGAAGATTAGTTAAAACCCCCAAAATTATATATTTTCTGAAGGTTCCAGGAAATGCAGAAGTGATTATTTGGCTTTACACCCTCCCAAACTACTATTGTCAGAAAGCTGACAGTTAGCTTGACAAGTGTACATGCCTGCAGGCTTGACAGGTATAAATACTTCATGCTTCTGCAGACAACCTTATGTTGGTGGTAACCAAATTAATTACAAACCAAATGTAATTTCTACTTGCAAAAATGCACGAAAAGCTGGGTACTGCCATGGAAGACATGTACCAATGCAAAGAAAAAGAAAAAAACAATCAGGAGGGAGAGGATCTCATCATGCCACTTTTAGGTCAAAATTTAAAAATACATAAATCCTGTATATAAAGTAACATGCTTTTGAGATATCTTCAAGCTGTAAATGGTGTTAAGGAACCTTAAAAGTTTCACAGACACCATCATATTGTCATTGACAGTGTACAATGGCATCCCATATATGGCTATGGGATTAATTTTTTTCTTTTAGAATTAGATTGATTTAAATACAGCAGCAGCCCAATCTGATTATTTCAGTTTGAAAAAAAGGAAGGCTTTTTTCAGGTAGCTTTAGCACATCACATGCCTTTTAAAATGGTAATAGACTATCTTTGACTTGAAAATAGAATTTGGCCAGTAGATTGCTATGGCTGTCTCTGTTTTCGCCTAAGAAAATTGTCCTGCAACTGGCCAGTTTCAAACTCTCATTAAGAATGAAAAAAATACAGCAGTATAAATTGTCCAGCAGGGAACATTGGCAAGAATGTAATAGAAGAAAAAAGTACAGGCAGGTGTTTTCCTGTGCAGTTCTGCACTTTCTCTGCAGCGCCTTCCAATACATTGACACTTTGGCTGCTCCTGCAGATTTCGCCATGGTAGCAGCAAATCGGAACCTCATTGCCATGCTTGAATTTTATTAGTCTGTTATGAAATGTTTTCATATAAGCATATAGTGGCCAATATTCTTTAATAAACATTACCCAGAAGCAGCTCTACTTTGTGTTTTCTGTAAAATAGTATGCAAACATTTTTGACAGTGGAGTAGTTTTGAAAAAAACTGAGATAATCTGTTAAACTAGGTTACAAAGGCGAAACTGGTTTACCTGGCGCACCTGGTCTCCCTGGCTTCCTGGCATTAAAGGTGATCAAGGGTTTCCTGGTAGGGAAGGATCTCAAGGGACAGCAGGTTTTCCTGGACCTCCTGGAGTGGCAATGGAAGGTCCAAAAGGAGAAAAAGGAATTCAGGGTCCACCTGGATTTCCAGGTAAGAAAAACTAAATATGTCTATACTGTATGTACTTGTTTCTACACTGCTAGTTGCTTCTACTAAATATGTATTTTGCCAGGATTCCTGATGTACAACATATTTTATTGATGTGCCCACAATGCTATCCTTATACAAGGCTCCTACCATATGTAAGCTCTATTGCACAACTGTGCTCTCTATATATCTTGAAAAATAATCCAGTAGGGGAGGATGATATAGCATTTTGTGCTGTGTGTGCTTTATTGAACTTTTCTTAGATGTGCTAGAAATATTGTGACCTGGGTACTAGACAATTGTAAAAAACAGAATAGTAATCAATTCCTGCCTATTTTGTCCAGAACAGATTATTCGACTCTGGGCATGTTTAACCTGTTTAATGATATTTATTTATGATTTTTTTTGCAATCTGAATAACATTTGGAATAAATATGTTGAAGTTCTTGTGAGTAACATAATATATTGTTACCTAAGGTTCTCCGGGTGCTGTGGGTGTTCCTGGATCTGCAGGACAGGTTGGATTGAAAGGAGAAAAAGGACAGCAGGGTTGGCCTGGAGCTCCTGGTACCCCAGGAGTGAAAGGTGAAACTGGAATACAAGGTCTTCCTGTAAGTTAGTAACACTTTACTGTATAAATTATGTATAAATATTTTACTTTCAATGGCACTAAGGGGGCATTCTGACTTTCTTTTTGATTATTTAGGGTGATGCTGGTTCTCCAGGAATAGAAGGACAGAAGGGTGATGTAGGTTCTCAAGGATCGCCAGGATTTCCAGGTAATCTATCTATCTATCTATCTATCTATCTATCTATCTATCTATCTATCTCTATCTATCTATCTTTTTATATACATACAGCAAAAAGGTATATTTATGCATGTATGTATGTATGTATGTATGTATGTATGTATGTATCTATCTATCTATGTATCTATCTATTTTTTATATACATACAGCAAAAAGGTATATTTATGCATGTATGTATGTTATACTGTATTATAATAGTATAATATACTAGTTCTTTTCTTTTTATAAGGTTTGAAAGGTTCACTGGGACTCATCGGAGAGAAAGGACAAATAGGAGAGCGGGGAGAACCTGGAACTAGAGGTATTTTGTGAACTTCTGCTTGAGTTTTATGTGGAAAGGTATTTTTTCTCACTAGTATTTCAAAGTACTGTATATTTTAATGTAGTAAGGTTATACATTTATTTGTAGCAAGAATTATTGAGGCATCCAACACTGGCATCTGTAGTCCCTTAGAAAACAAACATACAATACAATTGTAAAATGGAAAAATAAGGGGTTAGTTGTCAAAGTAAAGTGGTGAGTATAAGAACCTGTAGAGAAATCAATGTACAGGCAAACTTAACAAAATAGGAATGTCCAGATGGTAGTGTGGTGCAGGGTGTATAAAATAATAATATTAAATAAACAAGTCACCACAGCAGCACCCACAACATAAGATACAATATGTCCTTATATATACACCATGAAATTGTGTGTCTCAATACTTCCCTATAATAAATAATATAAATCATAAGTTTAAATTAAGCACATTAAACATTCAAAATAGAGTCCATATAGAGATTCATTAAGCCTAAATTCAATTGTCCACAATATCTTAAATAAACCTAGCGAGATGTGAATCCACCACCAGTACACACTGCCTCTTACCAGATGGACAGACCCCAAGTTATAGCTGGTCTGGTATAGCATGAAACTATGCATCTTGATCCAGATCATCTGTCAAGGAAATACATGTGGTACTGTGATCTCTTCCTTCTAGTCTTTTCAGGATTCGGTTTAAAAGAGATGTATTTCCAATAGTGAGTTACCGTTAAAAAAGTTTGTTGATAAAAGCCAAAAAACTACTGTGCCTAAGATGTGTATGTACATGAATGCATTAGAAGAGGGGATGGAAATGAGAGAGGAGTCTCTACAGGCATAAATTGCAATTATATCGAAAGAGGGGAAAAACTTGTCCCAGTGTGCCAGTTATAGACCTATATCGCTATTGATCGTTGCTTCTTTTGCAAAAGAGCAAGAAAGAGAATCACCCAGTGTTAGTTCTGTTGATTGATGCCAAAAAAGCCTTTGATAGGGTAGATTGGGGATTTATGATTGATACATTGGAAGCACTAGGAATTGAACCCAAAATGGTACAATGGATAAAAAAGTTATATAGTTTGCCATCAGCAGCAGTGAAGGTCAATGGCTCATTGTCACAGTTTTTCAAAATGTATAACGGACAAAGGCAGGGATGTCCACTTTCTCCCCTACTTTTTGTTATATCCCTGGAATCACTACTAGCAACTGTACGAAGGAATATAGACATAAAGAAATTTTGATGGAGACATGGAACATAAGGTCGCGGCATATGCAGAAAACATGTTATTTTACATTGTAAACCCTAGAGTAACCTTTCCCAACTTAATGAAAATGTTTAAATATTTGGCGAGTTAATAAATCTGAAAATTAATCCCTCAAAGTCAGAGATATTACATATTAATGTTCCGAAGATAGATAAACAGATGTTACAGAAAGTTTTTCCCTTTGTATGGAGGGAAAAGTAACTGAGTTACTTAGGTGAAGTTATCCCCTCCCTTAAAGAACATATAACAGAAAAATTACATTCCATTAATAAATTAATTAAAGGATGAATTGAGGAAAATATCAACAGGATCACTCTCTTGGATTGGTCGTATAAATATGATAAAGATGGTGATAGTCCCAAAGATCCTGTATAAATGTCATATGCTCCCAATATATATACTGGGTCCATTTTTTGAGACTATAAAAAAGATGATACTCAAATATATATGGGTAAATAAAAAACCAAGAGTAAACTATGAGTTATTGTGCAAAGATAGAATTAATGGGGGTTTAAATGCGCCGGACTTTAGAAAATACTATTGTGCTGTGTTGATTTCATGAATAGCAGATTGGATATTTAATTCACAGGGGAAAAGTTGGATAAGGATGGAATGTACATTGAGTGAATCACAATTAGATAAGATTATCTGGCTTCCACAACAGTTTTGATCTCTTTCTGAAAACACAAGCGCTTTTTTTCCAAGGAATGTTTTTAAGGTTTGTGATAGAATTCACAAACAAAGGGGGTGGGAGTATAACTCACTGTTTATACCACTAGGGGGGAACAGATTTCTTCCCTCCGGGGAAAGAGAATATTTTATGTTGGATGAGTGGCATTATTAACAATTAAGACATTTTGTTACAGTGCTCCTGCAGCCATTAAGGACAGTGGAGGATATGTATCCATTTGAACAACTTTTTAGTATGGATACAATACAAAAACATGTTACTTCCTACTTTTATAAGATCATTACTGATTTATCTGATTTATCTGATTTATCTGGATCTGTCTCTCCACCGTTCTTGGAAAAGTGGGAAAAGGAGCTTGGATCAAAATTAAATGAACAAGAAAAAAAGAAAATATTTAATTTTAACACATGGTGCAGTGGATATGAATACAGTAGAAATGAACCTTTATGCTGGAGGGGGTGTGGGATGGAAGGAACAATGGTACATATATGGTGGGATTGTCCTAAAATATACAAATTTTGGCAAGGAATAATACAATAAATACAGGAGATAACGGAGATTAGTATAATGAAGGATCCTTGGGTTTGTTTATGTCATAATTCCGATTTCACGGTGAAAAAATATAAGAACATGATGACATTTAATTTAATAAATGCGGCTAAAGGATTGATTCTGAGATTCTGGCAGATACAGGAAACCCTGTATATAAAAGACTGGATAAATAGAGTGGATTTTATATACAGGATGGAGGAACTATACCATATTGCAGTGGATAAAATTGAAAAATGTAAGAAAACTTGGGATAGAAGGAAGGACTTTACAGCATCCAAGAGATATTCAGAATTGATCGGAGTGTAAAGGAGGGCAAGAGGCAAGGATAGGATTGATGGTTCTTTTAGTCTTTGATAGGTAGAGAAGGAGAGTGGAGTGAAGAAGAAAGATGGTAGGAGTAAATAGAGGAACAGGAGGAAAAAGTAAATAGTAGGAGGTGACTGGTTGGTGGGCGAGGGGGTGGGTAGGAGGGAGGGGAAGGGAATATGTAAAATTTGTTGTGGAAATTGTGATTGCAATGTTTTGAAAATTTGTTGTATTTATAATGTAAAATTAATAAAAATATCATTTAAAAAAAGCCAAAAAACTACTTACAATGTATCTTCACATACAGCTCATGTCGTATAAAACGCAGCTGGTGCCAGCTCAATTAGTGTAGATGATGTCAGCATGAACTCCATCCCACACCGACGTACATTTCGTTTCAACAGACGTTGTCAAGGGGATCAATCTGATCCCCACACGCCGTTCTCTCCCACTCTCCACTGCGGGAAACCTCCCTGCACCGCTCCTGTGTAAACTGAGGCTATCACAAGCCTGGGTTTACAAAAGGAGCAATGGGGAAACAACATGCGATTTGGACAGGAATTGCATTCCAGTGCAAATCACATGCTAATCTTTGCATCTGTACATTTTATATTGACACAAATTGCACCACAAAGAATCGATACTCGGTTTCACAAATCACACTACTACTACTAAATTTACTTTAACATGTAAATTTTGTAACCATTATTGTGTCTTGACTGTTATTCGAGAAGCATAAAGATAAGGTAAAAACGTTTCCAAAAAATTCTAGATTTACTCTTTTAAAATGTTTTTTGGCCGTGTATTATGTTATGAATCACCGATTTGTTAAAAAAATTGTTTAAAGATGCATTATAGTTATTTCATCATCTTTTTTATTTTTTAGGTTTACAAGGTCTACCAGGGCCTGCAGGTCAACTTCAGATAATTAAAGGAGATCCTGGCCCTCCAGGACCAACAGGCCCCAGTGGCCCTAAAGGATTCCCAGGATATTCTGGTCCTAAGGGAGAGCAAGGTTGGAACACTGATTAAATTTGACTGAGCTAGTTACTAAAAACGTACCTTCCAGTTATACCAAATAAATACTAACCAAGCTAAAACTCATCTGTAGGTATTATCGGTGCTGTAGGATTGCCTGGACCACCTGGAGCGCCAGGAATAAATGGTATCCCAGGTCAAAAAGGTGAAATTGGTCCCAGTGGGCCAACAGGTAGGTTTTCTATAATATAGTGCACAGTATGAAAACAAATAAATGGCAAATAAGTTACTATTTTCCAAATATATTTTTATATTAAAGGCCCAAGAGGGTATGCTGGCCCACCAGGTTCAGATGGTTTACCTGGTCCCATTGGCTTACCTGGACTTCCTTCTATGGCTCATGGATTCCTGGTTACAAGACACAGCCAGACAACTGAGGAGCCATCCTGTCCTCTAGGCACAGTCCCAGTATACACTGGTTACTCACTTCTTTATGTACAAGGAAATGAAAGGGCACATGGCCAAGATCTAGGTAAGCTTGGTGTTATTAACTCTAAGCTGTGTTGTCTGGTCTGATTAAGTGGGTAGAGTTCCCCTGAAATGTTATACCACATCCTGTTCTGAATTGCACATTTACCTATTTGAATGCCTCCCCTTTGCTTCTTGCTCTGTATGGCGTCTTCTAGTCTTTCAGTTAGAGAAAAACAGTCAAAAAGAGAGTTACTAATGTGCTGACTCCATAAAAACATAATACTGGCAGGGGTTTTAGCCTTCCCCTACTCTACAGAAAAAAAAAAAATATATATATATCTATATTTCTGTCTGCAAAGATTTTCCTTCACTTTTGGTCTATTGAAACTGTTGTCACCAAGACAGAAAGTGAACATAACATTTTTGAACAATATGTCCATACATGTTCGCGGCTAAATGCCAGTGCTTAAATGCACAGGTAGTGTTTTCTAGAATGCATTCCTATGGGAAAAAAAAAAAAATTGGTACCTGTGGCTCCCAGTCACAGCAACAACAAACATATTTTACACTGTACTCCCATGTGCAAGAGGCCAAAGGGAATATATAGTCTTTTCAGTGTCTTTAGATAATCACGAAAATGTAAACAAGACCAAATTGATGTAATTATGTTTATATGAATTAGAAAAAAGTGTTTTAAAAACATTTTTCTGTTGTGTTATGCTGCCCCTTCTCACAATGCAAGTCTATGAGTTATCTGGGATATTTAAAACAATCTATTCAATAGGTGACTGTTATCTTGTCTGCAGTTGTTAATATGAATAAAATCATTGCACTTGTCAGTAAAGCAGGCCATAACTGGATTAAAACTCAGCTGGGTTCAGCAGGGATCGGGTGAATTTTGATCCATGTTTGGGCTAGCTGGTTGTACACAATTCAATCGATCAATTTGTATATAACCAGAACGATCAGTGCTGCTGGTTATAGTTGGCAAGACTAATCATTGCATTCTGCCGGCGGGGAGCTACAATAGATCAGCAGGAGTGGTTCCCCCAACTACATTGAATATGTGGTTGAGGGAATTGGTTGAGCAGAAATAAATTAATAATGTATGGCCAGCCTAAGTGCTGTCTTATTGATAATCTATTTCTATATGTAATATAATAAAAGCAAGAAAGTCAAAGAATGCAAAAATATATAATTATTATGGTCACTGAAAATACACTGTATGCACCCTTTCACATAAATGAGTTCACTGTAATAATGCAATTGTTTGATTTCAAGGTGCTGCTGGAAGCTGTCTACGTAAATTCAGCACAATGCCTTTCCTGTTCTGTAATATTAATAACGTATGTAACTTTGCATCAAGAAACGATTATTCCTACTGGCTCTCAACACCTGAACCAATGCCAATGAGCATGGCTCCTGTCACAGGAGATCATATCAAACCTTTCATTAGCAGGTAAGTAGACCCTTCACTTTTCATGCTCTTGAAGATGATGCAAGGAGAGTTAGAAATGGAACAATTTTATATGCAATTGTGAAATGTACATTTTATGGAAATAGCATGTCATCTTTTGCACTGCAGTTCTCTTTTCTGTTTTTCGCATTACAAAAATGCTCAGTGGCAACTGTGTTTAGTAAATGTAAAAGTATGAAACGTCTGCACAGATTTACTGCATGTATTTTTCTGGAGCTGTTGATTCTGGTGCTGGGTTATTTCTACTACCTGATTTGGTACAGGACTACTTGCTTCCAGGGCACAATCTTCCAGGGCAGGATATGAGAAAATGCAGAATACATTGTTTTATGTTTTAACTATACATTAGGGATCAGTTAGGTCAGTGATGGTAAAACACTGGTCAGGTACATTTGACACATCAAGTAAATGTATAATTATTCCCTTACTCGTGCTATTTGAGAGATTTCTATTGATACTCCTATATTTCAGATAGATAGATAGATAGATAGATAGATAGATAGATAGTTACCTTTTATAACTTACATTCATACAAGTGGGTGCCTGGTTTGTAATTTTTGGATATCCTTACTGTTTCATTTGCATTTAACATCAATCAAAAAGGCAACATATTAAAATTGATTTTTGATAGCTTGGTCTTGTTTGAACGACATACTGAAAGTTGGATTCTTCCATCGATGTTATAGATGCAGTGTTTGTGAAGCACCAGCTATGGTGATGGCAGTTCACAGTCAAACAATTCAGATCCCTCCATGTCCAGATGGGTGGATTTCATTGTGGATTGGATATTCATTTGTAATGGTAAGTTTTGCCATCTCACATATAAACTGCATTGTATAGGTTGCAACTGTTTTGCTTTCCTAACAAGTAACCTTTTTTGATTCTAGCAAACGAGTGCTGGTGCTGAAGGTTCTGGCCAGGCTTTGGCATCTCCAGGTTCTTGTCTGGAGGAATTCCGTAGTGTACCATTCATTGAGTGTCATGGACGAGGAACCTGTAACTACTATGCCAATACATACAGCTTTTGGCTGGCTACAATTGAGAGAGATGACATGTTCAAGTGAGTTACATTCAATACCTTGTCAGGAAATATATTAAAATAAATTACAGCTACAAAGAAATGGTTTTAAAACTGTTAATAAACAGGGTCTGGATGAAAGTGTGTGGATGTCCCTTCTATAAGTTGACCCTCCGTGAGCAGATTGGTGGGGGGATTGCCCAGTCTGCACTGGATTTTGACAAACCCTAGCGATGACCAGATCTGATGGCTATTAATGTTTGGCAGCCATAGCAGACATCTAAGTCATGCAGATATCTGAAAAGATACTGTCTGCCTGAAAAGTTGATAAGTGGCATAGGTTAGTTATTAGCAAATATTTGGACGTCATGAGTTAAATGCTTTCATAAACCTAATTACAATATGTCTCTGGATATTTTCATTTATCCAGGTCATCATATGGTTAGTAGCAGCTAGTGACATTCAACTGAAATTGTTCAGTAATGCTTAAAATAGAAGTATGGCTTTTTATTTTTCCCCCCATTGTAATTACTTAGGTGGATGCAGCACCAGTTTGATGTTGGATCTGTCTCCCATCTGGCTCTAAGGGGTGATCACCACCGCTGTGAGCAGAGAGCAGTGACTGTCAGTGACCACTGTCTGTTCTGCCCCCTCCATGCTCACTGGAGCGCTGGGTTGTGGAGGGGGAAGGAGCAGCTGGCTCAGGCTCTCAGCAGCTCACTGAGTGGCTGAGCCAGGTGCTGCTTCAGACTCTGGGGTGGATCCCGACTTTGAAGTCAGGATTTTTCCCCAGCTTGGACTGGCTGAGTGATGTCAGCTGTCAGTGTGCTTCAGCATGCTGTCTGCTGAAAATGGTTCACAGGATTGCAAAACGGACTGCACTCCTGCGATCCACAGAAATACAGCTAAACGAGCTTTAGCTGTACTTTTCCTTTAGGATGTTTTACTGCTTATCCAAGAAGCTTCTTGAAGAATGGATGAGCAATATATGAAATATACTTAGCGTTACAGAACAAGTTCAGTGGAATGTAACTAAAGCTGGTCATACGCAATGCAAATCTGGTTTGGTTCCTGATGAACAAGCAGAAGCTTTCAATGTGGGGGGCCCCGTCATCCACCTCCCAACCAGACATTCCTCAAATGAAAAAAGAAAGAAGCCAGATGGAAAACTTTTGGCTGAACAACGGCTGCATTGAATCAAAAGCAATTGCTGTTGGTTCATTTATCAGTAAAGATGAAGAAAAACTGGCCATAAATAGATTTCTTTACTTTCAAATAAGTAATCTGAAGAGCTTACCTCCCATTGTCCTGAATTTTTTAACGTGGCTTCAAACAAAGTAAAACAATCTTATGATTCTTACAATATCAACACACTTATGCACCAGTCTAATCATGTGACTCCATCTTAGCTAAAAGTTCACTAGCCGTGCTTAATTTAGCCAGGCCAGAAAGTACCAAACAACTTACATGGTGTAGGGCCCTTTTACTCTGATCAGTTTTTGGAACACATTGCACAAAAAGCGGAACAAAAATGTGTGAAAAATGTATCCCTTTTAATCCTGTGGAACTCTTCACACTCCAGGTGAACTGCACTTTAAAAAGTCCAGCATGCTGCATTTTTGGTGCAGTTTTTCAAAAGTGCACCAAAAAGGCACCTTCCTTTAAAGTCAATGGGAGCACATAAAATGAACATCTAAAGTGCATCAGGGTGGTTCTCCAGTCAGTTTTGACCTCTGGCTCTGAGGGGCAAAGCTGTGATCCAACTCCCCGCTGAAGGACACACACCTCTCTTCTTCCATCATGTATGGCTGTGTGAAGTTCATCTCTATCTCCTCTCTGTTCCGTGCTAAGTCCAGGACTCTGTACAGACCAATTTCTGCATAAGTTTTGTCTCGGCCAGAGGTTCAAACTATAGAGGGCAACATACTTCTCAGTGGGACATAAAACCCATGTACCCAGCTGGTACTTCCTATCAGTATAGTCAGCAGGGACATTGATACTGCTGTTAAATTCATTGGTGTTGGTGCTGCCACAGTCAGTGTGGCTGTCTCTGGTGCTGGTATTGGAACAGTTTTTGGAAGTCTCATTATTGGCTATGCCAGATATCCTTCATTGAAGCAGCAGTTGTTCTCAAAATGTAAAGAAAAAAAGAAAGAAAAAAGGTGCATTAATGTGAAAGAGCCCTTATAGGTAGTTTGCCTCTCATATATGACAGATGAAAATAGAATATACTACCGTAAGTGTTTGGCCATTGCTTTGGAAACACACACTCCTATGTATAGGACCATTTACATTCAAGGAACTCTACTTTTGATGTACTTAACATTACAAAGGCATTATCCTATATTCATTATATAGCATATAGAATATTCCTTTGTGACCTGAGTTACAAGCAAAAATTTTTATTGACTAATAATTTGTTTTATACCCCCAGAAAACCTACACCTTCAACTCTGAAAGCTGGAGATCTCCGTACACATGTCAGCCGATGTCAAGTATGCATGAGACTTAATAATATCAGAAATCAAATAAACATCAAAAATCATATTTGAATACAAAATATGGTGCTATTTTTCTAACATGAAAATCCAAATACTATATCCATGTACCTCACTATTGTACAAGAAAAAAGTAAAGTGCATTATAGGAAAGCTCATCATTCACCCTGTTTTACTGGTCCTTGCCTGCTTACAGAGAAAAGACAATCATATCCCTTTATGGCACTTTGAAATGTTATAAAGTAAATAAAACAATGCACTGATTCCCTACAGCAGCAGAAGCTGATTTCTTAATTCATAAGGTGCTAGGAGATATACAGTGCCTTATGCTGTTAACTCCTCCTACTTCTCTTGTATTATATTTTATTCTCTGTTTCATAGATATAAGTATTTTGAAATTCTTGTATAATTGTTTCAATAACTGATGTATGTCCACTATCTGTACAAAGTAAAACTGAGATAATTTGTAGCTAGAAGTTAAAAACAAGAAGTACTTTATTAAAGCAACTACCATTTTGGCATAATTTAAGACAGCGATAGCATGTAAGTGCACATCTGAAAGAGATACTTCCATACAGTTTTTTTTTCTCAAATGTGTGCTTCATTTTCTATGTCACTTTAGATTTTTATAACATTTTGTCAGTTAAGTATTATAGACTTATTTGAAAAAAAAAACATTCAGAATGAGGCTTCAGTTCTAGCTTTCTTAATGCTATTTTATTATCCTGTGTCCTGTTCTGCTAAACAAAAACCTTGACACACGGGGTTTATGTGTTTCATACAAACCCATCAGTAACCGATGGACCGTTCAGGAACTGTTCCAAAAAGTGGTGTGTCCTGAGAACTAGTCCAGGCATCATGCTCTTCTGAAACACTTGCTGAGTTTCCTAATATCCTTCTTCTGTGGATTCAAGAACATATGAATTCAAGGGGATGCTCATGTTCTGAATCCCAAGCTGTTGTTCTTAATTACTTCATTCACTTAACAAAAAAAAATCATAGATAATAATGAAGGAATTTAATATAGCAGCATGGAAACCAAATCTTATTACTGTAATGAATCCCTATACTGCTCAGTTGTACTTAATCCAGAATACCCAGAGTAGAGATTTGCAGGAGTTTTGCAAATATCTTCTATTCAACAAAAAGCTTATTTTGATTCAGGTCCTGAACCTAGCCAATTGAATTGCTCCTCTATAACTGTTTTTGTTTTTTTTTCCTCAGCATTAAAACTATGCTATACTCTTACATCATGTAACAGAACACTTATTATAATTATATATAATACATTTGTCAAATAAAAAACCCACTCATAGTAAATATATTTTTCCAGCATCCTATATTTTAGTAATTTATGTTTATAATAAAACAAATATACACTAACTGACTGTTTTTATGTAAATTTTTCAAATATATATATAATGTACAATGTAATACTAAAGAATCAAGCTCCCTGCTATTTTATGTGGCTTTATAGTTTACAAAATGATTTTGCCACTTGCATTGTTGTAAATTATATTCGCATATTGAATGTACCATGAATCTAATCCAGATTGAACATATGTTCTTATGTCAAATATGATGCATTCCATGGTGTGAATACCATCAGTATTCTGCAGCATCTTATCATCAATTCTACAGCAACTTTAGACTGTCCCACACTAACTCGTAGCTTTGTAATTAAATTCTACAAAAGTTTTTAAAGTGTTCCTTATAAAAGCTTACATGAAATTGACATATTTTGATAAAAAGTTGCTGAGCTGCCTAAATTATTAAATCCCAGCAAGAAATATTACTGCCAGTGGGGTACATTCAGGAACTGATTTCTGCATAGCCAACATAGTCCACAGCCTAGGGTGGAATACCTGCCAAGGTTGGTACACAGTAACCTTTTCCATCATCAGTAATGCATTGTAGTGTATTTTAAAAGGTTTCAGACTGTTGTCCTGCCAGTACATTTTGAGTCCTCATTTTAGTTGTCATTGCAAAGTTTGTGTATTTTATTTTATTGTTTGGTAGAATAGTGTAATGTGTTGTTCTTAAATTTGACTCTATGCAGTTAAAATTTAACTGCAAACAGACTAGAACAACAGTTTGCTCTAATCATCAGTTCTGGGTGTACTGAAACAGAGTAGGCAATCTCTCTTTCAGATTTTTGACCCCAGCCTTGGCATGCCTTACAATATGTAAGTGAAATACTAAGAGTGTAGCCAGTTGACTGGGGTAGGAGAATGGCAGAGCAAGATTAGGGGTCTAGGGGCAAGAAGTATGAATCTGGTCTTAAGATATGTTGGCTGTTGAGGACCTGTGAAAATCTCCTAACATTCCTCGCTGTTGCCCTACATATGTGAATGATCTCTTTTCAGAGTAGCTCCTTTTTAATGTCCATCGCCAACAAAAGATTTCTAGGTACAAAAACTTAATTTCCCTATTCAGAAAATCACAAACTGTCATTCAGCAATGTATCTGCAGCACTTTGATAACTGGTAAACATTTATCATGAAAATTTTCTACAGATTTATAGATTTGTTGCTAGAAGATCATTTGTATTTCACTAAACGTATTCATATTCCTTGATTGATAGCTGCTAAGAGCAAGATCTCAGGCACAGTCAAACCTGGCTGAAACTTGAATTAAGAGAGATAAACAGTAAGGCACAGTCATTATGTAGCTCACCAAGGCAGGAAGAAGAGCGCTGACCCCCATATACATTTATTCTAACAAACTATACATAGAAACAATACTTTTTTTAGACATGAACATACAGTGCTAAAATTATTTACATTTGTTTTACTTCACAGTAATTAGATTATTTTCATTCAGTTGATCATTCTGACGTACTGTATATCTAAAACTTTGAAAATACTATAGTTTCTCTTTAAGCTCACCTGTTCCCTCTACAAAGAGCTTGGATAATCAGCAATGAAGTACAGGTTAAAAACTGAGAAATGGCCAAGATCTGAAATGTGTTTCTTTTAAACTTCCCTTGTGCCTACTCAGATGGGTTACCGGAGTAGGCTCTCCAGTCATTTCAGGGATCTTGTGCTATAGAGCAAGCCACAAAGGCAGTATATCTCTCCCTGATTGCTTCAATACAGCTTTGCAATTGCAACACAAATGCCATCCTAGGCTGTAGTTCTCTGAATGTTACTTACACAAATTAGTGGTGTACTAGAGATCCACCAGAACAGAAACTGGTATTTGTAATAAACATTTAATGGGGTTAAAGGAAAGTAACATACATTTCCAAAACGATTACTACCCTTTTCACCATCACAAATGTGCCTTAATATATGATTAGTGTTTTCTGATTATTTTTCTTTTTTTTTTTAATTTCCAAACCACTTTTAAAAATTGTTAAAGAGTGTTTGTGTTTTCTGAATGTGCATAACATAAAAGCTCCAGTTTGTAATAAAGAACTTGCGTATTTTTTATTGGTTGACTAAATGCCAGATGGTTTTGCTACTAATAACTCTGTTACAATATTAACTGTAATGTTAAAAATCCACAAAAAGATAAAGATCTCTGAATAATAAAAACTGACCGGTAGGCACAAGGAATATCTCCTAAATGATGCACGCTTACCTTCACCGGGAGAGCACAATAGCTCAGTTGACAGTAAATAAAATCGCATCATCTATGGCCTGCCTTACTCTACTGTAAGGCAAGATTCTGAGTTTGTTGCCTTAACCTGTAAATAAAAGTTTCTTGTGTTAGTCAAAGACGTGGTTGTTTTGAGGCCCAAGGCCTTCTTTCTCTTCAAAGTAGTTTCTCCTTTCACTTTAACTAGAACATTATCCCAGATATCCAAAGTAATGATGGGCTTGATGTTCGAGTCGAGCATAAGTTATATGTTCGGCAAACAGACGAGTGGTAAGGGCGTTCGGCAGGCTGTTTGACCACCGTGCCCCACAATGCACTGCACTCTGACAATCAGGCAATGTACTGGACGATACCACTGGCTCTGCCCAATTGTTTACATCTAACTGACACATGTTAGATAGCGGCGAGTGCTAGGCCGGTGTGGATGGGTCGGTGGGTGTCGGGTTTTTTTTTAAATTTTGGCAAGTTGGCGTTGTCATGACAGCATTGAACGTCATAATTGATGATGGATTACAATGATGGAACCATTTTTTTAGCTATTTTTTCCCCCAATTTTTCCACTTTTTTTGGTGAATAGTTAGGGGTACTATGTACCCCATACTCATTCACAAGGGGGGGGGCGGGATCTGGGGGCCCCTTTGTTAAACTGGGCTTCCAGATTCCAATAAGTCAACCCCCGCAGACTCCCACAACCGCAACCCAGGGTTGTGGAGAAGAGGCCCTTGTCCCCATCAACCAAAGCACTCCCTCGTGTTGAAGGCATGTGGCCTGGTATGGTTCAGGAGAGGGGGGCACGCATTCATTCCCCCCCTTTCCTGCCCTACCAGGCCTGTGCTCGGATCAAGGGTCTGGCAGGAATTTAGGGGGCACCTCACACTTCTTTTACCCCATTTTTTGGGAGTGGGATTCCTCTTAAAAGTCCTACCAGGCCTAAAGGGCCTGGTATGGTTTTAGGGGGAACCTAATGCACTTTTTTCCATAATTTTTGGGAGGTGGGGTTCCCCTAAAAAGTCTTTTAGGCCTGGTATGGTTTTTAGGGGGAACTCCACACATTTAAAAAAATTTTTTTTTACTGCGGGGTCCCTCCTAACCTTCCTATCAGACCTAAAGGGTCTGGTATGGATTAGGAGATAGGACCCCATTATCATTTTTTAAAACAAATTGTCAGTCCTGCTGCAGCAGGTTCTATACAGTGTACAGATGTGCAACTTTGCAGGTAGTTTAAGGGGACTCCCAGGCTTGATATTTAAAGGAATTTTTCATATTTTTTTTTTACTTTAAGCAATGAAAAATGACTTCCCCTTTAACCACTTGTTTACCGGGCACCTTCACCCCCTTCCTGCCCAGGCCATTTTTCAGATTTCAGCACTGCCGCTCTTTCAATGGCAATTGTGCGGTCATGCAACACTGTACCCATATGAAATTTTTATAATTTTTTAAAGACAGATAGAGCTTTTCTTTTGAACCACTGGGTTCTTTATTTTTTGCTAAACAAACCAAAAACAACTGAAAATTTTGAATAAAAAAAGTTTTTTCTTAGTTTCTGTTATAAAATTTTGTAAATGGAGTAATTTTTCTCCTTCACTGATGTGCGCCAATGAGGCTGCAGTGATGGGCACTGATAGGCTGCACTAATGAGGAGGCACTGGTAGGTGGCACTGATGGGCATTGACAGGCATCACTGGTGGGCATTGACAGACATCACTGATGGGCACTGAAAGGCAGTACTCATATGTGGCACTGATAGGCAGCACTGACTGGCACTGATAGGCGGCACTGACGGGCACTGATAGGCGGAACCGACTGGCAGTACTCATAGGCGGCACTGACTGGCACTGATAGGGGGCACTGACTGGCAATGATAGTTGGCACTGAAAGGCAGCTCATATGGGCACTGATATGTAGCATTGATGTGCACTAGTAGGCACTGATATGTGGCATTGATGTGCACTGATGGGCACTGACAGGTGGCATTGATGTGCACTGACACGTGGCACTGATGGGCTACACTGATCATCAGGGCACTGATCATCAGTGTCCTGATGATCAGTGTAGATGTCCCCTCTGAGGAATGCTGATTACCGGCTCTCCTCTCCTCACGAGCTGTCAGCGTGACAGCTCGTGAGGAGAGAAATGCCGATAAACGGCATTTACCTATCTACATGTGATCAAGTTGTGATTGGACACAGCTTGGTCACATGACAAAGCCGAAGTCAATGGCTCTTTCCGCTGATCAGTGATCTGCTGTGTCCCAGGGACACAGCGCACCATCAATCGCCAAGCTGCACGCTCCCAGGGGCGCACAAGCGCGGTTAGAGTGCGATGACATCATATGATGTCCTCCCAGAATGAGAGAACCGCTGCCCGTCCATCGTTTCCTTTAATGGCAGGCGGGAGGCAGTTAAAATCTGTACTTTTTGAATTTTTTTTTTTCACTGATTAATGTCCCTCAGGGAAGTGCCAAGTACCCATACCCCTTTTATGGCCAATAGCTTGCATATAAGCCTTCAAAATTGGCACATTTGAATTTACAAGTTCTAGCCTTATAGACTTATGTTCGAAGATCACAGTCAAACCTTCATTAGCGTCAAATGTTTGACTGCGAACCTAACAGGGGGGTATTCAGCCCACCACTAATCCAAAGTTATATTTCCTTCCATAGTCTGGATGCAGCATGTACTGTTTGCATCCATCTCTCAGCCACATCCCGCTTTAGGCAGTTTGGCTTTCCTGAGGGTCCTGATAGGGGACAGCCAGCTTCTTGTTCCACTATCACCAGGTGGATTCAGCAACTTCAGCAACTGGATTCAGCCTATAGACTTAAAAACAAGGTTCCACTTTTCCCTGTCAAAGCACACTCAGCTATCAATTAGGGCTTTTCAACATCAGGCATCTTTTTTATCAGATTTGCAGGTTGGTGCTACATGGGCTTTGCAACATCAGCCATCTTTTTCTTAGATTTGCAAGGCAAATCATCTGATCATCTGATGCAGGCTTCAGTTTTAAGGTTTGCCAGACAGCTCTGTTGGCTCCATTGAGCCCCTTCTGTTAAGCTGTGTGGTTCCCCTGGGAGTCTTAGAGTTTTAATTTGCTGTGTTGCTCATTCCTCATTTGGACTCACTTTGCATGTCCATATGTACTAGAATACTTTATCCTGAGCCCCCTAAGATATGATAAAACATAGGATTTTTTTTTTACCTGTGCAATCCTTTCTTTGGAGTACATTAAGGAACATGGGTCCTTCTTGTCTTTTTTTATGATCCACTCCTTCTATTGCATGGCGACAACACTGAGGCATGCTGGGTGAGGTAGGGGTTATTCTCGGCTGTCTTACAGCTCTGTTTTCCAGTGTCCAATCTCCTGAAGGTAGCTGCACACAATGATCAGCTATAACATTATGACCACTGACAGGTAAAGTGAATAACATTAATCATCTGGTTACATTGGCACCTGAAAGTGGGTGGGATATATTAGGCAGCAAGTCAAAATGTTGTCCCTGAAGTTGAGGTTTTGAAAGCAAAAAAAATTGGCATCACAGTTTGTTACGTAGGGGGCTGCAAAACAGCAGACCAGTTAGGGTGCCCATGCTGACCCGTGTCCACAACCAAAAGAGCCTGCAAATGGGCACATGAGCATCAGAACTGGACCCCGGAGCAATGAAAGAAGGTGGCCTGGTCTGATAATTCATGTTTTCTTTTACATCATGTGGATGATTAAATATGTGTGCATCACTGGGTAGAGATGGCACCAGGTTGCATTATGGGAAGAAGGCAAGCTGGAGGAAGCAGTGTGATGTTTTGGGCAAAGATCTGGGAAACCCTGGATTATGCCATTCATATGAATACTACTTTGGAACAGTCAACCTACCTAAACATTATAGCTGACATCTTTCCTAATAGCAATGGGCTCTTTCAGTAGGATAATGTATCCTACCACACTGCAAGAATAATTCAAGAATGGTTTGAGGAACACAAGTTTGAGGTTTTGACTTGTTCTCCAGACTCTTCAAATCTCAATCCAATCGAGCATCTGTGGGATGTGCTGGAAAAACAAATCCAATCCATGGAGGACCCACCTCACAACTTACAGGACTTAAAGGCTCTGCTACTGATGACTTGGTGTCAGAATCCAAACCAAAAAACAAACCACAAAGCGCAATAAGCTACCTGAAATCAAATAAAAATATTACATTTTTTTAAGTAGATGTACAATTTAATAGCTAAAGGATATAATACAAAACATCAAACATACATAGTGAAAGAGGTTAAAAACAGGAAAGTCCCGAAATAGCCTGTACAGTCCATTTAAAGATCTCTGGACTGTAGTTTATGGTGGTTGTGTCATTGAGTTAAACACACAGCAGAGTGATTACAGTAGCTTCTCAGGATCATCTCAATTCACATCTCTACCGCTGGCCACAGGAGAGGGAGGCGGAGATACTCCATGGGTCTTCGGAGGTGTCCTGGATGCACACAGTTACAGCTTATCATGTAAGTAGATGTAGCACTACCCCTTTAGGAGTTGCTGAAGTTTTGGGTTCCCCTATAACCCTGCACAGCCGGGCAACACATATTTCCACATGCTTGCATCCAGGAGTCAGTGACCAGTCCTTAAGCTTTGTTTTTGTGATTTTATTAGAAGATTGTAACTTGGATAGGGTAAGGGGTGTATGGGATGCCCAATAGAGGACAACGTCCTGGAACTATTTATGTGTTTACAGCAAAATGGTCCCTTTTGAAGAGCTAGCCAGGGTCTCCTGTAGTACCACCCCAGACCCTAAATACTCTTTATCTAGCTGTTCTGGGTGAATTCCTGAACAGGGGATCTAGTGTCTGCCACATAAATGGTAACACAGTCCTGCATGGCAGGCTAATCCATTTTCCCACTATCTGGCCCAGGGAGTACAGGTCTACTCACTCAGTCCTTCTCCTGTGCTGCTGGTAGGTCAGTGGCTGCTGCCAGGCCTTTTAGCTGGGCTTCTCCTTCCCTGCCTCACAGGTGGTCCTCTCTCAGGGGGCCGGTGAACTCCTGAGCATGCCTCCTTCCAAGGTCCTCTGCCTGCAGGTGAGCCCCTCCCCATCTGGGACCCCTCACAGGCTCCTGTCTTCCATCCTCTTCTTCCAACCAAACTCTCCTCCAACTCTTCTGCTGCTGAGCAGGCGCAGTTCCTCTTAAAGTAGAAAATATACAGTAAGTGAGGTGGGAGATGGAGGCCTAAGGTCTAGTGGGGTTTTAGAGGTACCATACCATACATTACAAACAACTTCACAATAGTATGAAACAATTACCCTTTATTAATAAAAAATGAGCCACCATAGTGGTGGAGCATAGCTGATAAACACATTACTTAAAAAGCATATTAAGCACAGTGGCTAAATGGTTAGCACTTCCACCTGGCAGTACTAGGGTCGTTGGTTCGAACATCAACCATGGCACTACCTGCCTGGAGTTTGCATGTTCTCCCTGTGCCTGTGCGGGTTTCCTCCTGGTACTCCGGTTTCCTCCCACACTCCAAAGACATGCTAAATTGCCCCTAGTTTGTGTATGTATGAATGTAAGTTAGGGACTTTAGAATGTATGCCCCTTGACGGTTAGGGACCGATGTGAATGTACAAGATATATATATGTAAAAAACGCTGCACAAATTGATGGCGCTATATAAGTATCTGAAATACATAATAAATAAATAAAGCTTAAACATAATGAACAAACATTTATTAAAAAATATAGCCTACTAACGCATATAACAGGTTGACATAGTTGATATTCTTTTGATTATTCCAACATAGTTAGTAGAGGTTGATACTTTGTTGATTACTCCAGCAAAATTGGTACAGATTGATACTTTGATAGAGAACAAAGTGAGCGCTACTGATAAATTGTCACATAAGCAGCTAAAAGCACTAAAGATGATCACAACCACCTCTATTCAAGAAAAATAAGAAAAGTGCAGCGCTAAATAACACAATATAAAATACGATAAAATTCGATCTAAATAGTTCGATCAAAGATAAATGTTCATAAAAATCCTGTGATCGATTCATAAATAAGGTGAACACAGCTTGTATCAGATCCGGAAAATGGCAGAAATGCGCACTCACCGACCGCGCATAGGAAATGCACATATGTGTATCAAATCCCACAGATGTCGTTATCCTCCAGGAAGAGGTGTCATCAGTCGATCTGCTGGGCTAACAGGGCCTCCTTAGATTTGGATCAGCCAAGGTATATGTTCCTTCCAGGTGCAGGATTCCCTCCTCTGGATAAGATATGTAGCTGTGTCTGCCAACCCCTCAGTGAGGGGTAAAAATAGGGAAAGTACCCATAGTGTAGTATGTAAATGCTTTATTGGTGCATGAAATCTTAAAAATCAGGTCAGTGAACAAAATTCTGGCACATTGCCAGAAGAACACACAGTGAGGAGTTGATAAAAAGAAAATAAATACTGACCCTAGTAATGGTTGGCCGCCAGACCTCCACGTGGTCTGGACGGCTAGATCAGGCGTCACAGGCTGTCAGTTCCTCCTGAGGCCTTTCGTGCTAAGGCACATCATCAGAGGGGATACTGACCGATTGATACTACAGATTGATACTTTGTTCGAGCTTAATATGCTTTTTAAGTAATGTGTTTATCGGCTATGCTCCACCACTATGGTGGCTCATTTTTTATTAATAAAGGGTAATTGTTTCATATTATTGTGAAGTTGTCTGTAATGTATGGTATGGTACCTATAAAACCCCACTAGTTTTCTTCTGGTTAGGGTTATATTTACATCAGTTCCTCTTAAAGGCTGTCCTAGCCCCTTGCCAAGTCTCCTGTTGGGGATTGGCCAGGATCCTGTAAGAGTACAGACCAGCCACTCCTCACATCCGCCCAATGCTTCTAGATATTTCTCCAAAGTCCTAGAGCAGGGGGAAATTCCAGAGAGCTGATCTGCAGAGCCTTTCAGCTCTGACCAAAATTTGTTGATGGATCTTGTGTTTACTTCCTTACCAGTTGCACAGACATTGAAGCTGCTCCTCTAAGCTACATACCCATACCTCCCAACTTTTTAGGATGAGAAAGAGCTATGCATTCCAGCATTCTTTTTTATGGACAATACAGGATCTTTTGGGACTTTTCTGTGTTCCCCTTACATTCTGTATGCTTGATTTTTTTTTTTATATCCTTCTGCTATTAAATAGTACATCTGTTGAGACATACTTTATATTTTAATTTGATTTCAGGTAGCTTATTGTG